GCAATCGAATTCTTATCAACTGTGACCAACTGTACAAAGTTGTATTTGTACTTGGGTGCATGATTATCAAAACGGGTCACTTATCACTTATTGAGCGCTTACAGCTGTTCCCACAGCAATGTAAAGTTCGAGTTATCAGGTTAACCGACAAAAGAGATCCGAGTGCACATGCACTTAAAAAATCTTAAATGCAACATAAACATAAACAATCTAGAATCGGTGCAGCAATAAAACTGCACTGCATGCAATTATTTTGAAATTATCAATAGGTTAAAGAGTTTATGGTCTCATCAAGCGACTTTGTTGGAGTGACGTATTAAAAAATTAATACGTATAGTATTTAATTAAAAAAAAAAGTTTAAGTAGAGAGGAAAATAGTATTTTAAAATAGTATTTAAATACTATAAGATTGTACTCAATTAATTACAAAATCTTTAAAATTATTTTAACTTTAATTTTATAATATTTAGAGTTAAATATTAACTAGTTGAGAATTCACAGGGGCGGGTTCAATAATATATACAATAATTAAACTATTTTTAAGTAACACTCGTCTTATATATAAAATTTTATTATTGAAAATATTATATATTCAAAATTTGCTCATATCCACATTTCTCGAAATATTAGTGTATTTAATTTAACATTTATTGATTTTGAAAAGGCTTTCGACGCGTTTAAGAGAAGTTACATATGACTAGCATTAAACGCTAAAGGTATTCCTAATAAGATCATTAATATTCTCAAGAAGAGCTACGAAGGGGCCACGAGTAGAGTTTTACATGAAGGTACTCTTAGCGACAGCTTTAATTGCAACAGTGGAGTGCGACAGGGCTGCGCCCTCTCACCGTTACTGTTTATCCCAGTCCTAGACGTCGTTCTAGAAGCTGTAGAAGAAAGCCCAATCGGCATTGGTTGGAAGATGAATCAAAAGCTTGGTCATCTTGAATATGCAGACGATGTAGTATTGTTAACAAACATGCACACTGATATGCAAACTCTTGTTAATAACGTACGTGAGCAGTCATATAAAGTCGGCCTAAAAATTAACGCCTCAAAGACAAAAACAATGAGAACGAAAGCAAGCAATCAATCGCCCATCCTTCTGTACGATCAAAACATTGAAGACGTGCAGGAACTCGAATACCTGGGGAGTATAGTCAACAGCGAGGGTGGCACGTCAAAGGACATCGGCAGTAGAGTGAAAAAGGCAAATGGCTCTTTCGCATCGCTTAACAAAATCTGGAAAGCCAACAATGTAAGCGTCGAAACTAAAACCAGAATATTCAACGCCTGCGTCAAATCGACATTATTATATGGGTGCGAAACATGGTCGCTAACGAGAGCCTCGACTCAGAAGATACAATCCTTTGTCAATAGAAGCCTGCGGCGTATTCTGAACATATGGTGGCCTGCAAGAGTCTCCAACGAAGAGCTATGGCAGCGTACCAAACAAAAGCCAATAGAGAAAGAAATTTTGAGACGCAAATATGGCTGGCTCGGCCACACACTTAGAAAACCGACAGATGCAATTGCCCACGCAGTCATGGAATGGAACCCTCAAGGAGTAAGGAGACGAGGTCGTCCCAAAACCACCTGGCGAAGAACAGTGACAGCAGAAACAAGCAAATCCTTTAACCAGTTACGTTTTACTGCCAGAAACAGAGAGGAATGGAAGAAGTTTATAAATATTATTTGTGAATAGACTAAGTTCTAATTTTTAAATTTTTAATTTAATTTTTATAATGAAGAACATGTCTTAATAATAATAATAATTTAATTTAGAACTTAAAACATGTAATAATAATTATCGTGATTATCAGTGGCATATGGAATTCTATAGATTGAAATTTATTATCATGAGTTCATATCCATATGTAAAAAGTATATTTCTTGGTGTGTTTTGTAATATCCATTTCATCCACGGCAATTAAAGTTTAATTGATCTTTCGTACATAAAACATTTTTGTTCTCTAGATGTTATGTTATCTGCCCGAATGACTATTCTATAATATCTGATTGCTCCAATGCATACTCAAATAGATATACCAGGTAATGACGATCTGGATGCTGTCAGGAAGACATTGGAACGTATGCTATAATAAGAGACTTTTTTATAATTGAATGCTGAATCTATAAATCTAGATTTAATTTGTCTTTGTGTTAATTTTGGTTGAACATTACATAAGCGGTCACTATAAAGTTAGCTAGATAGACGCTCTGCAATTATTTCAGTCACTGACGGCTCTTGACTTCTTAATCATTGTAGATTGTTTAATTTTAAATACTCGTATTTAAATTATACAAAATTTTCTTATGGAAAAAGTTTTTATGTAACTATTTACGATTTTCTATTTTTACTATTATATAAAACTCTACTGACATTTGATAAGATATCATTCCTATATTATAATTACGGTTATATAAAATTCATCAACAAGGAAAGAGTGCATGCAGCAGGAACAAAATCATAATAATTTACTTTAATGTATTCTTATGGAAATTTCATCATCATCATCCGTGATTATACACCTAAGCCTATTTAATAACAGTCTTCCATTGTTCTCTGTTTTTTGCTTTTGTTCTCCAATTTCTAAT